GAAAATGGAAATGGTCATCCCTAACTAAAACTCCCCCCTCCGATTGAAACAAAAAGAGTTGGGATGTAATCAGAAGTGTTGAGTGAGTTGAGTGCCGAAGTCAACCTATCAAGCAATTTGAACCTCTTGGCAACTATCTCCCCAAACCTCAATACAATGCCCTACAAAGGACACATGCCGCAGGCCGCAGCCGCAGGCGACGCTCACGAAAACTGGTCGTCCCGGTGGCTGGATCTCATGGGTCCTCACGGGTCCGTTGTAAAGAAGACCGGGAAGTAACTTGCGTGCTGCTAACAGGCATCAGCAGGTTTCCCGTACGTCGAGAGTCCGGAACAAACGCCTGCATCCCACATTGAAACTTTCCGTCAAGGACAGTGACACGTTGAAACAGTTACATGCAGAGCTGAACAAGTTGAGGGGACAGGGCAAGAGTGACAGTGGTTAGATTACTTGCTGCTTTCAGGGCGATGAGTCCGGTTCGGGTGCAGCTTTTCAGCTTGCAAGAGCATTTGAAAAGGGTCTTCCACAGAAGAAGGGAAGCTTAGAGACGGAGGCGCTGAAGGCGTCGGAGAGCCAAGGGGGAGCAGACGAGGAGCTAGCGACCAGTCCCAGCAGGAGGCCTCGGCACTGAGGATCCGGGGGCTTGTGACCCCGGCTTCTTCTTGAGCCTCGGCCCCGCACGGGATCGGCGAGGAAGAGTGCGCGAGTGTCAGGAGCCAGCGTGCATGCTCACCATATGCCATAGGCGTCATCGAATTCTTCTCGAACGCGCACGCGCTCTTCCCCTTAATCACCCCTTGAGCCAATGACCTTCCCCTTGCAGGATGGGTTCCCGCACGCTGCCGGAGCGTGCTAGAGTCGCTAGACACAGGATGGCAGGAGGCACTTGCAACGCGTTCATGCAGAGGCGGCCCCATGAGAAAACTTGGGGGGAATTGGCCCTCGGTGTGATCTGCGCCGGGCGGGGCCCAAAGACTCGACTGCTTCCGGGAATCTGTGACGACGCAGGCCCTTGGGCCAACTTGAGAGAGGACTGGCCCGTAAGTGCAATCTGCAATCTGCACCCTGGCTCCCGTGGACCAGTCATGAGCCGCATTGAACGTCAGAACTTGAGGTCCTTCCACGGCATGGGAACTTCCGTGACCGGAGACGCAGACCCGTCAGTCCCAAGAGACTCCTCCCCTCAGCAAGAGTCCTGGCTCTCTGCATCGCAGTTTCAAGGCAGCTCCTCGAAGCGTTTCAATCGCGCGTCTCTCCCGTTTTGTTCGCTGTCTCAGACACTTTTGCTTGGTCTTCTCCCTCAAGCAGGTCTTCTTGGTCCGTGCTTCCATCCTTTTCTGATCTACCCCATGGTCTGCACCAGATCCCGTGCCTCCGCAGCGGCTGGGCATCTCCACGGCCGTTGTCCGGCACATCTGGGAGCGCAGTGGAAAACTCGCGACTGCCTTCTCGCCGTGTGAGCTCGAGAGTTCTGCGGGGGGGGCGGGGGCAGCAGGACCACGGGGACAAGCTGTGCTTCGGTGCTTCGGTGATTAGTTCCAAGCCGCGATGTGCCATGGCGGCGACGGCGGAGAGCCGCAGCTACGGCCGCTCCATGGCGAAGGCGCCCACGGCCACGCGTCTCCGGGTTTCGCAGCGTAGAGCTCTGTTTGACTCGGAAGGCAATGGCCCATTTCAAGGACATGCGACGCCGACACGACCTTCGGGGCACATGCAGAGACAGAGAGTCCTTCAGGATAGCAACTTCTCTGGCTTCTGCGAAGCGCTGGCCGTCGGCTCGCTGCAGGATGCCAGCATCTCTGTGACGCTCGCACAGCCCGAGGACGCTCAGCGATGCTCAGCGAAGTAAGTTTCGAGCAAGCTTCTAAGTTAGAGTCTTTACCTGGGACTTAGGCTTTATCTTCATCCGCATGCTGTCTTGCACTAACCCATGAGGGGAGACCCTATATGCTTTCCACACTGGGACATTGCACATGCCGTTCGGGCCACGTCCAAGCAACTAGCACGTCGAACTCGATCCTGGCTGCTGTCTGCACAAGCTCTGGCTAGGAGCCGGACTGCCCACTCGTCGGCGTCAGCAAGGCAAGGCAGAAATTGGCGGCTTGGCCATGTGTGTGGTGTTGGCGCAGGGCTTTCAACTCCTAACCGGATACGCCCGCGACGAAGTTCTTGGCAGGTTGCATCTGCATCATTTGCAATCCACAGCATCTGGGAAGCCTCTTCGAAAGATGGAGCAACTCTGTGCCAGGAATTGCCGGTTCCTGAATCGTGGTTGTGTCGTTCCGAAAGAGGACCCTGGGGAGTGGGAGACCTGCAGAGCGGGCCACGAGTCGCTGCGGGCGAGAGGCTCGTGCCTCGAGCCGAGGCCCTTTCTCCTGCGCTGAAAAGAAAACCACCTGCTGTCACCTTGGTTTCGGTTGGGCGGCAACAAAAACCTGCCTGCAGTGACAGGGAACTGGAGTTCTCTCCTTCGAGAGGTCTTCTAGAGACGGGCCTAGGGTCGCTCCGCCTCGGGCCGCCTCTCGTCCCTCGCAGGAGCGGCTGCGCCTGCGGGCCGCGCTGTCTCGCGGCCTTAGCCGGAGGGCGCCGAAGGCTCCTCGCGGCGCGGCGTCTGCGGCGTCCTTCGCGGGGCTCCTGCAGAACCGCCGGAAGAACGGCGAGGCCAACAGGACGCCGCGGCCCAGAAGAAGCGACGCCCCCTTCTTCCTCCAGGCCTTCCTGAACTACCTCTGCATCAAGACGCTCCGAGTCGGCTCCCTCTTCTACTTCTTGGGATTCCAGGCCGCTGTTCCGGAAGCCGCCCCTAAGCGCCTACTCTCCTCCCTCTGCGACTCGTTGCTTCCTCTCTCAGGTGGACATGACGCACCGGAGTGACAGTGAGCACGTACAGAATCTGGTTCAGCTCGAGATGGATGCTATTGCGCGGATCTCCGGTTCCAAGCTTCGCCCTGCAACCGAGAGACACCGCATCACTCTGCACAAACAAGGTCTCCACGATCTTGTATGCTCAAGAGGATGTTCTGTCCCGCTTGCAGGCACGCAGACATGCATTCGAGGTGCCGTGCCATGCCACGCATCCACGAATCCGACGTCAGGTGGTCGAGGACTTCGATCAGAAAGCTTGGTTGCTCCGGAAGGCGAGGGTGACGTCGGTTGTGCTTAGGCTTAGCGGCTTAGCCCTGGCAGCCCTGCTGCTGCCTGGCAGGAGTACGACCATGCCAGCGGCCAAGGATGGCCATGCCTCGTGGCCATGCCTCGTGGCCATGCCTCCCGAGGCGAATTTTGCTTCGCTCGAGCATGACCAACGAATGCTCACCAAGAACACCTTCCTCGAGGCAAAAATGCAAAAAAGAGGGATCGAGACACCGAGTTCTCGCGCTGTTCGCCACTGCAGGTCCAGGCGGACGAAGACGAGAGGCGACTGACTCGTGGCTCTGCAGGGATCAGCTGTTCCCATGTTAAGCTAAGGCCACTCCGGCGATCTGTATCAGACTCGATCTTTGAGGAAGGCCAGAAGCAGTGGAGCAGCTCAGTCGGACGCCTCGAGTTCTTGCCCTTACTGTTGGAAGGTTCCAACACTTCCGAAGAGGTACACTGCGCATGAATTCGCGTTGGTATAGGCAGACACTGCGGCTGCTGTGTCTGGAAGGCCTTCACCAAGACGCTGAAGATCCTGAAGGACACGGATGGATTAGAAACGCCAAAGAGAACATGCTTGAAGGTATCGCTCTTCACAGACGAAAGAACTCTCAATCTCTCAATCTCTCAATCTCTCTCTCTCTCTCTGTCTCGCCCTCCCCTCACTCTCTCTCTCTCCCTCTCTCCCTCGCTTCCTCTCTTTTCTCTCTCTCTGTCATGAAGGAACTACGTGAAGTGCAGCAGCAGCAGCAGCAGCAGCAGCAAGCCGAACTAAGTTACGAGCATCTACAACAGGACAAGGAGCCATGCTCACAGGTTTCTACAGACATTTTTTATAATACATACACAGATATGTATGTCATACAGATAGACCGACCGAGACCGAGACCGAGACCGAGACAGAGACAGAGACAGAGACAGAGACGGAGGGATGCAAGCAGAGACAGACAGAGCCGGCCAGAGACGGACAGAGACAGAGACAGCGACAGACACCGACACAGACACAGACACTGACACAGACAGACAGAGACAGACACAGACAGACAAAGATGCAGACAAAGTCACGGACACAGACAGAGACACACACACACAGACAGAGACAGAGCCAGATCTCGGGGAGGAATGGCACCATGAGAGGTGGCACTGAATGGAACACCGCTGCATTTTGGGTGGAACTTCGACGGCTGGTTTCTCAAACGATTCAAGCAGCATCCATCCTGAAGCAACCTTTGTTGACAGACGGCAGTTCGGCAGGTCACCACGACAGGGTGCTCATCCCACTCGCCCAGGAACACTTGACCCTTGCCACCCTCGCTAAGGCCATCACCGTGCCCGGCAAAAGGAAGCGATTGCTTCAAGGAAAGCCAGGGTGGTGCAGATGAGACAAGCGACCAAAGGCAAGGAAGCAGGAGCACATAGGATTGCGCTCGGGACTTCGCCAGCGCTGGCAGCACCACCAGTGGCACCCCTTCACTGTGCAGGAGCTTGTTCACACCAGCCACAAATGGGCATGCAGCAACAGCGCAGGACAAGACGGCATATTATGTTGCACGAGGCAGAGCGGACACTGCTGGGACACGAAGGCTGGGGGAGAGGATGCGCCGAACTACGGAGAGCTACACAGATGGCCCGAGGGTTGGGGGATGGCGACCTGGATTGTCAAACTCGACATCCGTAAGGTGTCCGACAGCGCATGGCAACATAGCATGAGCGAACTGGTGGCAGCCGCATCGGGTGGAGCCCCGTTGAACGATGTCTCCCGATTCACCGGATCTATTCGGGGCGATGGTCGCACCTTCGAGCAGCCATTCCCATGCCGGTCGCTTGGAGATCCCAAGCACGGAATGCCAACCCACCGGACGTGCTCAGTTTAGTTGGGGGAAGCAGAGAGGCGGAGGCACGAGCAACACAGAGGCGGCAATTTTGCTCCTGGACGCAGCAGCAGAATTTAGACAAATCGTGCCAAGCAGATGGGGGCAGGCTCTGTTTGGGGGAGCACTAGCAGTTCATGATGGTGCCGAGACTGAGGCCGAGGACGTACAACAATGGGGGGCATGAGAGCGGAACCATCCCCGGCAAGTGATGCCCCAGACGGGGACATGAACGATGTGAACAAGCCGACCCCGTGACTGAGCTGCAGGAGCAGGGAGAGCTGACGGCCCAGGCCGAGCAGCACAACGCGATCCGTCGCAAGGAGAATGTACAAGAATGCCGCTGGATCTCTTTGTGCGGAACCACCGAGTCTCGGTTGGGGAGCATATTCGCACACAGCCTGCAAGCAGCCACACAGCAAGCTGCTGAGACAGAACATGGCGATGACACGGCTGTGGGGGGCAGCGCCGTTGCTGAGGGGAGCAACCAGAAGACAGTGAGGAACTGGATGCGACTTTTTTTGGCTGACGGGGGATGCAGCCCTTCTCGGTCCTGCACAACGAGCCCGAGTACATGCTGCCAGAATATGTGCAGCGAAACATGTATGCAAGCAAAGTTGAAGCATGGACTGCATGTGAGGTGCCAGCGTATGTGCAGAGGGCTTTTCAGTACAAAGTAGCATGCTTTCGTGAGCCGTGCTCTTTATGTGAGACCCTGCGTGAAGCGTGACAAAGCCATGGTAATGATGAGATGACGGCGGCCTTTGTCGAAGCGATGAACTGAAAGGGGTGATGAAGAACAAAGACCTGGAGGAATGGCATGAAAAGGTGCTGAAAGGCAACACGGAGCTGACAACACGCAGAACAAACACACAGAACCACGTAAAGATGAGATGAAGACCGTTTAAAGAGTCGAGACGGTGAAGTTTTGAGGTGATGAAGCACAAAACATGGAGGAATGGCACCAAAGGTGTCAGCAGCCAAACAAGCCAGGACAATTCTCTTTTATAGCTTGTTTTTCTGCTTGAGGCCTGGCGGTTTCGCAAGGCAAACGGTCTAGAGCCGCAGCCCCTCAATGCAGCTTTTTTGTTTGGGGTTGAAAACTTCGCAAACTGATCAACCATCACAAGCTTGGTATGTAGAGAACATAGGCATTGCTGGTCACAAGTTTGGTATGTAGGCGAGCTGATGGCTGGTCACAAGTTTGGGCGCGCTATCCAAGGTACAGTCGGGTTTTGCATTCAATGCACACTCGGAAAAAATCCAAGGTGCACTCGCATGTCGCTTCCATACGGTCTGCCGTGCCCCTGGCACACTTGGAAAAAATCCAAGCGGAACTCGCTTGTCGCTTCAGTACCGGTATAATCTAGATGCCGTGCCCCTGCCCGAGTTCGCACCCCTTGCCGTGCACTCGCACGTCGCTTAGGGCTTAGGCACCGCAAATGTCCGGCTGCCGTGCCCCTGCCCGGGTCTGTTCCTGCCCTTGTTATGCCCTTGCCCCTGCCCTTGTTGACTCACTGGAAGCCCCACCTCCCCAACCAAGCTAAGCAAACACCTTTTTGACAGTTGCCCAAAACGAAAACCTCAAGGAGTGAAATTAGCAGGAATGTTGTCCCCCAGACGGAAACCCTGAGAAGTGAATCCAGTGAGAATCCGTTGCCCAACACGAAAACCCTGAGGAGTGAAATTCGCAGGAATCTTGTCCCCAAGACGGAAACCCTGAGGAGTGAATCCAATGAGAATCTGTTGCCCAACGCGAAAAACCCTAAGAAGTGAAATTAGCAGGAATCTTGTCCCCAAGACGGAAACGCTGAATGGTGAATCCAATGAGAATCCATTGCCCAACACGAAAAACCCTAAGGAGTGAACCCAGCAGGAACTTTTTCTCCAAGACGGAAACGCGAAAACATTGAGGTGTGCAGCTTTTGCCCAAGACGAGAACCATGAGGAGTAAATGCGAGGAGAATCTTTTGCCGAACAGGAAAACCTGAACCCTGCCGTAGCTTCATTTTTACAGTACGTAAGGGACCCGGAGTGCGCACTGGATGCAAATGAGGCGTGATGCGCCTTGGATGCAAGACCGAGTGCGCCTTGGACTTGTAGAAGATGATAAAAGCAGGCGTGGTGTCACTATCCCGATGTTGTTCAGAAGTTGTATAGGAGTGTTTTTTGAAGATTTGTTGCGCTCATCTTTCTGGCCACTGAGCCACCGAGGTTTCGATGTAAAATTTGGAGCCTCGCGACTGGCACTATGACACACGTGGAATGATCCCCGATACACGATTTAGCCGGAGCTATAACATGGTTTATGCAGCGGTGGGCTGGTCGAATCGTCCTTGCAAGTTATAGAGCTCTCGTGGGGCGGGGGGGCAGGCGCGCTCGCGCACGAAACGCGGTACCTGGTCAGGACCAAGCGGATTGGCTTCACGAGAAGGCGCTCTGGAGTCCGGCTTCCGTGACTTTTTTGATAGCTCACTTGGCCCTCTTTTGGCTGGGAGGCCACTGTGAAGGACGAGCCGCAGTTGGAGGCGCCTGGGCCTGCATAGCTGTCTTGCAACTTTGGTGGTTTGTGTGGAGGAGAAGACGGAGAACACAAAATTGCCCAGTGTGGGCAGCCAGTTCCATCCCGATCGATGCACGCCGTTGCGACCTCACGAGATTCGCAGCGCAGCATCTCTATTAACATCTATATGTCAGTGAGTAAAGTGTTGCAGCTTTCGTGAGTTCGTCCGGTCTGAGCTTTACAAGGTAGAAAAGCAGCCTGTCCAAAAAGCTCGTGGCGATGTTGCTTCTAGTCGAAATAGGAACATCCATGCCTTCCTTCGGCAGAGGATGGCCCAGGAAGAATCGTCGGGCTCGCAAAGGAACTAGGTTACTAGGTGCCCGACATGAGGCACCAACACGAACAACAGGAGAGATTCTGGCACTTGCAAGTCCATGGAGCGGCACCAAAAACCTTCAGAGATTTGGGGTTCAGGACATGTGGGGCCTCAGGAGTCGAAGCAGGCAAATGGAGTCATAACTAAACCCAGACCCGGGCAACAGCCCAGGTGAAAGCCCAGTGAGCTTCAGGAACAAGTACGAAGTACACGGCAGAAGGCGTGCTGCATCAAGGACTCCCGGTACGAAAAGCACCGCTGTCCCCCCTTTGTGGTTCTTGCATTTGATGGCCGCCCGACAGTAGGTCTTCAACTGTGAACGACTCGAAGGACATCCAAGAACTTGGAAACCTTAAGTCCGGACAGGCGAAGCGCAAACAGGACAGCCGTTTCACGATGGCGTGCACGGCACAGTGACAGCAGGAACTAAAGTCGTAGCACGGAACACCAGCAATTAGGACTGATTCCTCAGATCACCCCTGAAGTGCAGAAACAGCAAAATGAGTAGCTTTGAGTGGTGCCAGTGGTGCAACGAGCACACGGGGAGAAACGGGTTACCCGCAGGGCCTCTGGCTGCTCTCTCGCACGCCAACTCCACCTTCCGGACAGTGCAAACGAAGTCGGCAATTCACGAGCACGAACACGAGCCCAGGTTTTCCCTGTCGCTGAGGTGCTCCTTCCACTGCTATTCTCTGCGTGGGTGCCTGCATGGAGAGGCCCCCCAGCAGCCAAACAGCCACATGGCACAGAGAGAAATGCGCGGGCTGTGCAGGCTTGCGAATTCTGTCACCTCGAACATCTTCGTCGGCCCAAGCCGAAGAAGCGAGGTGGGGGCCCAGCCCCAGCGCGGGGAGTTTACAGATGCCCTGTCATCAGCTTAACTTGCTGGCTCTGAGTCTGAGATGCGCAGCACTTCCCAAAGTGGAACGGCAGCTGGAGAAAGCGAAGTGTAGGCATCAAAGAGCATCAAAGCTTGCTCCCATGAACTTTGCATACCTCTGCATACCCCCTGCCCCTACCTTTTCTTTGCATTTATAAACGATGAGTGACCGCATTCTCCACGTCTGAGCCGATGGACCGGCGAAGCCTCCTTGAGGCGAGGCGGAGCGGAGCGCCCCAAAACACATGCGGCAGTGGGCGTCCAGAGGCGCTCCACCTGAGCCACCAAGCGCAGATCGAGCAGCTGGAGTCTGGGACCTGAAATCTTAGGACGACGAATCGAAGGCTCTTTTTTTTGTCCAGTCCAGGGAGGGTTCCTCTTTTCGGCCCGAGGCGCTGGAATGGGTACCTGGAGGGCTTGCGGCATGCGCCAGCTTCAGAAGATAAGCGGTTGGCAGAACAGCGCTCCTCGCAACCGCCATGCTTCTTTCGAGGCCTTGACGTCGGAGAGCCCGCGTAAGAAGCCGGGGCCGGGCTCCCAAGTGACCGGATCCCTGGCCTTGTCGGGCAAAGAGAACCTCAAGGAGCTAAGGGGGGGGGTGAGAGCTGAGGGATGGGCTGAGGGAGTGGGACTTTTGTCCGGAAGGAGCCGAAGAAGCTGGGTGCGGGAAGGCCACGGACGCCTCGTGAACAAGAAGGTCGCAAGGGCCAGGGCGGCCAGGAGCGTGAGCCGCGGGAGCCCCTGCAGCCCAGGCCGGCTGCAAAAAAGGCGTCTTCTTGAGCGTGACTTCTTCAGTTTTGCTCTTGCTCTTCAGTTTTCGAAAGGCAGTTGAGTCCTTGGTCGAGGTCCAAGGCCAACGAAGGGGATGCAAGTGTCTTTGATCCGACAAAATGAAACCTGTCTTCAGGTGGACCGCTTCTCCGGCTTTGGATCGCTGTACCACAGGTGAGGCCGGTGAGGCTGAAACAGGCCGCCGCGCGTTTCGCCGCTCGCTCTGAAGCCAATGTCCACTTCAAGAGAAAAAAAGAGCGACAGCGAACTGGCCGCGTGGGGTCAACTGGCGCTGAAGGGTAGCGCTCGAGCAGCAGCTGAGGCAGGAAGAAGCCCGAGGAGGCGCAGGGCGCCCCCTTGGACTGAGAGCCGTCTCTTGGTATAGAAGGTTTCACAGGTGCTGCCGGCGCCCTGCGGCGCCCTGCGGCGCCCCTGCGCCCTGAGTGCAGTCGTTTCAGGGCGAGTGCCCATGTTCCCAAGTCCGAGAGGTCTTTTGTCTCTGCGGTTTCCCTTTCCGAGATCGGGAGCTCGTTCCTGCACTTCCTTGCGGAGGTGTCTGCTGGAGGCTCGGAAGGTCGCGAAGTGATAACTCAGCTGAGGAGCCAGCCTACAGAGAGATCTGCGTCTTCCGCAGCTCCGCAGAAGTTCCGCCCCTGCGGGGGGCACACTGGACAGGAAAAAAAAGAGATGCCGCAGCAGAAAGGGCGGACAGAGGGGGAGAGACGCCAAGTTGCCAAGCTGCAGCTCTTGTGCGCCCGCTGCTCAAACTCAAGAGGCTCGATCTAGTGCTTTGCATTCGTCGGCCCGTGTCCTCAATGCCGGTGGTTCAGCCCTCGGGGGAAGCCGGTCAAACATCCCTGCTCTCTCACCGTGTTTCGACCGTGTTGCGAGGTAGAAGATGGCGCAGATGGCGCCTCTCGGACTCAAAGCCCGGTGCTCGGCGAGCCGCGCTGACTGCGCGGCCGCAGCGTCGCTGGCGCGCATGGCATCTCTTTTGCATGGCCCCGTCTCCGAGGTGTCCAGGACCAGGTCCAGGGGGCCATGGCCGTGATGCAGGCGGCTGCAGCCAGCGGCTGGCTGGGCCTGCTTACTCTTTCTTGCGCTGACTTAGGACAACATGCGGGCAATGGCCGAGAGGGACTCGCAGCTGAATCAGCTGGAGGCTGCGGCTCTGGCATGCTGGGATGCGACGAAGCGTTCCTTTTTTTTTCCCTTTTTCCGAAGGCAAGGACCAATGACTTGCAAGGGGCTTCGAAAGCCTTCAGCTCTGGAGCGAAGCCGCGGGCCCTAAACGACGGTGCCGCCACCTTCCGTCGCGTCGCCTGAAGCGCCTTTTGGGACCCAGGCGCCTTCAGCGGCACTACCAGTGGCAAAGGCGCGGGCCGCACACAGCGACATGCACACAGTGACACGGGGATTCTCTTGGGTGCCTTTTGGCAGCAGCGGCGAGGTACAAGTTCTACTTTGCGATCGGGGCCGTCGTGGTGCTGGCCGCCGACTTGGGTCACTTGGGAGCTCTGGGCTTGGCGGCTTTGTTGCGAGCCTTTGGCCCGGTTCCAGGTGGTGGCGCTCATCTTGTTGCCCTCCCAGTACAAAGTGCCCAGTGACCCAGAACCCGAATGCTGGCTCTCTCTCTTTCTCTCTCTCTCTGTGCGTCGTGTTCGCATGTGTATGCTTTCTGTGCTTGTTGCGAAGAGGGGTTTGTGACGATTTGGTACTGAGTTGTTCAACTCGTTGCCAGTTCACCATCATGGGCCGATGATACGAGGTTCCTTTATTGGGAATGAAATTTGTGCTGCGCCGTGCGATTTGACGGTGAGTGTTGAGGCAAGCTTTGATGTTGCACAAAACGTCCTAGAACGGTTCTATCGTGATCCCGTTGTCCTGGAAGCATGCGATGCTGGTGATAAGGTGGATATTGAAGCTGATTTGATGGAGTTTCGCATTCCCACTGGAACGTGGCAGTATCGATCAACAGTGCAGGATCTCGGAGGTTGAACTTGGCAGGTTTCGGTCCCGGTCATGCCTCATCAAACGGCAAGCTTTTCCAAACTTTTTTGCTAGAAGTCAGCTGAAGGAGTCAACGGACATGTGCACGTGTTTCGGTTTCACTCGCGACGATCTCCAGCATGCATGAATGAATTAGGTGTGTCGGCTCATGTAGCTTTTGCGTGTTGCAAACCCTGATGCGAACGAAGGTGCTGCATGGACTTGCGAAGTGTTGTTGGATGTTTCTGAGTTCCCTCATTCAATCCGATCGTCGTCGCGTTGTGTATTGCCGAAAGCATCAAAGCTGTGGTCGGCGCAGGTGCCGATGAAGACCCATCCCGAGCTGTGACATATGAGTGGGACGCCGCTCCTATGTTTGCTCCATGAGCCCGCGATTGAGATTGCGACGTCAAGTTTCGAGATTTCCATGTCAGCTCGACTCCGTGTGTTTTTGTGTTGTGTGTGTGTGTGTGCGAAGATCCTTTTTTTTGAAACGGAAGTTTTCTATAGCGATATAAGCAGGGGCGTCAGAGGCTCAGAGGCCGAGCATGGGTGTCTGCCGATGAGGCCCTTCTTTGCCGTGTCGGCGGTGCTCCTGGGGGCCTTGGCCCTGATCCAAGCGGCCGCCTCGGACGCCTCCGCTCCTCCGCTCTCCTCCGCCGGCGGCCGTCTTTGAGGCCGCCTTGGGTTCCACGCGGGAGCCGCCGGAGCCCGAGGACGCACAGGTGGAGCCGAGGACCCAGTGCTGCGGAGCCGGGGGGGAGCCTGCGTGGCTCAGAAGGGCCCCTTGTTTTGTTTTGCCAAGGCTTGGCGAGTCGCTGACCCGCGATGGCCGCGATGGCATGGAGTGAGCCCTCGGGGCCGGCCCCACCCGCGGCCTTGAAGAAGCCGCACCTCTGTCTCACCGACGGTACGAACCGCCTAAGCAAATTCGAATGCCGATCCGAAAGAAGCCCTCATACTGTATCAGGCCTCAGGGTCAAAGCGTGAGGACCGTGCGGAGATGCCTCAGCTCATCAGCTCATCCCGAAACATGGGGCAACGCAGACACGCTATCGCCACTACCGCGTCTTACGGCGCCTTCTAGTCTATTGCCAAAGCATAGCGGAGCAGGCCATGAACTAGACGTGGCCTCTTGCCAGCCAACAAGCACGCTATCCCCAGCTGCCGCTATGGAGTGAAGAAGCCTTGCAGGCCGCCCTGCCATGTAGCATGAGTTCAGTCTTGTCCGGTGGTAACGGTGGAGTGGAGAGTCAACGAAGCACGTGTATCAAGCGGATTGTACGTAGACATACCAGTCCAGTCCGGAAGGAACTTGAAGGCAATGGCAATAATAATCGCATTCCTGACGATTCCTGACCATGACCATGCATAACTTTTAACAGTGACATACAGGTTACAGATACGCACGGGGTGGTCATGTACCCAGCGACGTCATCACAGCACTCAAAAAGACAGAGACAGTTCATGAGACCAAGCGGAATCGCAATCGGAGCGTGCCGCACACCAGCTTTGCCCTGCGAGGCAGTGATGCAAGCCTGGGCACCGCGAGCGCCCCAAAGGCCCTGCATCGGGCCTCAAGGGCACTGCCCTCCTGGGCACATCCCCATCACGGCCGGCTTGAAGCAAGGCGGTCTCGGCCCCCCGTTGCAGAGCCTTGCTCTTGCGGCGTTTTGTCATCTCAGGGATGCCTCGAATTCCTGTCGTGCCTGCGCCTGCCGCATGGGCTGGAGGCCGTCGTGCCACGTATAGCGACGAGTTGCGCCTACGAAACGGTAAACCTCACTGACGATAATAGAATATCATCGCACCGCCCCTAAGACGGCCCAGGGGCCCCAAACAGCTTGTCGCATTTCCGCGTGTCTAAGTCCTGCTACAACTTGGCTCGTGAGAGGTGCGCTGCGCTCGCAGATGGCGCAGCTTCCTGGCAAAAGTAACTACTATAGTGGTTTTTCTGTTTGCTTCTTCCTCAGCGAGATCTGAGGCTACCAAAGGCCAGGGCCTCCGCAGATGGTTTGTAAGCTGCAGGGCGATGTGGTTGTGTGTGGGATGTGTGGAGCAGTGAGGCGGCGGCGCTGGGTGTTGGGCCAGCGTGCCCATTCTGCGGCAACGTCTATGCCCCTTGGGGCCTGACTTAAGGGAATTATGGGACTCTCCTTGCGTGGGTTGCGTGAGATTTTTTCTGACAGAGAGCGTGAGGCACAGGACGCTCGGTTCTGCCGCAAATGCGGTCAGCCCAGAGCAGAGGCTCGCGGGCGGCGGGTGTATTGCCGGAGTGTTGCACAAAAGCGCGTTTCTTTCTTGTCTTGAGTTTTGAGAGGTGAAGCCTTCCGTGCCTCCAGTGCCTGGCTTTCTGGCCTCCAGCTGTGGCCAAGGCTTCCAAGCTGGGCAAAGGGAGGCGCCTTCGCCTTCGTCTGCGTCTTGCAGAGTGGGGACGTGTGCGACGGGAGTGGGGGAGAGGTGGGCCTGCGCCGCTTCCCTTCTGCCCCCAATGTTCAGGCCCGCAAGTGGTTTTGTGCGAGTCCTTCGTCCTTCGCTTCGTCTGTTCTGAGGCCCGCGGCCTCTCCTTCACGCCCTCGCCGGCGTCCGCTCCAGCCCTGGTGTTTCAGCAGCTTCAGCAGCTGGGGATCTGCTGAGCTCCGAGGCGGCCGCGTGCTCCAACTGGAGGCGCGCTCTGCCGTCGAGTATGGTGACTCTGGCGACTATGGGCCATGCCACCAAACAAAAGCCCTGGGGCAGGGAGCAGGTGGTGAGGGAGGCGTCTGCACCCGCACCGCAGGCACCGCAGGCAGCGCAGGCCGTTCTGACCAGGACGGCGTAGCCTTCACACGCCCAGGCCAGCGCTTGTCCCTTTTTGGGGGCCATGCTCCCCCTGCCAGCAGTGCCCCAGGCGCCGGAAGAGTTCGCACAGCCGCTCTCTCCCTTGAGATTCTATGGCCGAGGTGAAGGAAATCGTGGAGGTCGCCTCGACTGCAGCCACCACGCAGCCCGAGGACGCAACAGCCACAGTGCAACGCATCCGCGACAGGGCCTCAAATACACAGATGCCATAGCTTCTGCCAATTTTTGGCATGTTCGGGCACGTGTCAGCTGCAGGGCCAGGATGGGTGCCCTTCAGCTGCGAAACTGTTAAACGCGCTGTTGCTGCTGTTATTGTTGCGAAGAGCATAGAACATTGCAGCTCGGACTGGAAAGGCACATTAGTGCGCATCCCCACTTGGAGGATTCAATGAAGCAGTTTCAAGTGGTCGGAACCCCGGGAAGGGAAGTTCTGATGTCGATTCACCGACCCATGCTGTTGAAGGTGATACGCGAGAAGCCTGTGTCACAGCAAGTCGAGAAAGTCGTGGAGGCGGAGTCCGGGTGGAGTCCCGGGTGGAGAGCAGAGCTGACCGGCACCGGCGCTGCAGGTTCCTCATGTCTCGGTCTCTGACAGCACCATTGAGGCACCTGCCAACCAGCCAGCCAAGACTCTTGCAGCCTGTGTACACTTCCGTGGGAAGTTCCGCGTGGGCAGTAGGTGCCTGTCTCGCTGGTCCAAGAGAAAGTGGTGGAGGCCCAGAAAGCGGGCCCACTGCAGAGAGCAGCGGAGCAGAGCAGAGCAGCCTCCGAGGTCCCCGAAGTGCAGTACGTGGAGCTCCTGAAGCAGGTGCCGAAGGCGGGGGTCCCCAAAAAAGGCCTCTGAAGGAGAGCCGAAGGTCGACCTCCTTCGTCCGTAGACGTCGCAGCGCAGGTGCAATACCAAGAAAGGCTCCTGCAGGCTCGCGCAAGAGAGAGGGAGAGGGAGTTGGTTTGAAGGTCCCTCTTGGCCTGATGCTGTATCTGTAATCTCATGCAAGTTGTATCTTCCTTGCAAAACAGGTGGAGAAGTTGGTGGCCGAGGGGAGGACTCTGGAGGTGGAGGTTCCTGTGGAAGTCCAACAGGCGCGGCTGGGAGAGCCAGAGGACCCTTGGGATCTCCGCGTAGCCGCGCCTTCCGCAGGAGCGGCTGGTGGAGGTGAGCCAGGCTCAGCCGCTGGAGATCTGCCGCGAGGTGGGGACATCGGGGGCAGGTGCCCCGAATCTCTTTTGTTTCCGGAGTCCGGTGCGGAGCTCCCGGCAGGTGGCGAAGGTGCAAAGACAGTCTCTTGCTGCTCAGCTCGCAGATGCCCATTTAGGCCTTGTAGGCTTCAGCCACTCAGGCCAAGCATTTCGCAAAGCCCGTGGTGCAGTGGAAGGAAAGCCTGCGTGAGGCGCCGTCCCGCGGCCGCGACGTCCCGCGGCCGCGACCGCTCGGTCGCAAGTTTTGCTCCGCTTCAGCAGGTCCCGCAGACCACCATCCGGGAGCAGATCCAGGAGGCGCGAAGAGAGGTCGAGAGTTTGACGCAGATTTCGGATTTTCCCAGTTTGAGAGATCAGGCGCCATCGTCTCATCAGGGATCGGGCCGGGTTTAAGTTATGAGCTCAGCCGCCACGTGCTTTCTAACTTTCAGCCTTTCAAACTTCGAACGGCCAACCTTTCCTTATTCTCAAACTTTCAAGCTCGGAAGTCGGCGGACCGTCACATGATCGAACTCGATGCGATTCAACTCCTGAAGCCTCATATTTTGAACTCGCCCCCTCACGAGGCGATGGCGGTTCAGCTCACAACTTAAGCCCGACCCCTCGTTCGACCGTCGATGGCGCTTGATCTCATGTCAAGAACTGGGCACCTCAGTCGGCCCGCCGATCCGTATCTCAGATCCATCCCTCACTAGGTACTGCGATCGATCCCGGGTCTTGAATCCGGCCTCCCATCAGGCAATCGCGGTTGAGCTCAAATATTGCTTGTCTCAAACCTCATCATTCGATGGTGGTTGATCCCGTAACTTCATCTCGCCCCTGAATTAGGCGATGGCATCAAGCTATCAACCTGGATTCCCGATCAAAAGTTCAAGCTCCAAACTCGCACATGTTTTCGTGGCTTTCAAAGATTCGAGCTCGATTTTGAAGTCCTATAGTCCTATAGTCGTGGGACCCAAAATACAAGTGTGTACATATCTATAGTAGCTGTACCATGAAGCCATATATAGGCGTACGGTGGCAAAAAGCCACGTGCATGGGGAAGGGTGCGGAAGGCCGAGCGGTTAAGGGGACCCCAACGAACGGTTATACAGTGACGCCGCGGGTTTCCGGATTCCGAGAATCGGCTTTCCCGGGAAGGTGCCAACAGCCAGGATCGTGGAGCTTCTGCGCGAGGCGGTGAACGGCCGCGCGCCGCGCGTGCCGCGGCACGGCGCTCGCAGGTCCCAAAGCCGGAGATTCAGAAGGTGGAGAAGCCAGCAGCCCGCTTAAGCAACGTGAAGAGGCAGCAGATCTTTTGCCGAACCGGGTGGATTGAGGTCGAAGTTCCATCCATCCAGCTGACCGAAAGGTCGGGGGAGGGTTCACCCTTCACTGCCCTTCACTGCACAAGACTCCCCCGAAGAGGCAGCCACGCACAGATAGCCGTGGGTGGACATGAGTTTATTGATGTTTGGGCGAGCTGAAGCAAGTCCTGTTGAAGCTTCTTCGACACCACTACACAACTTCCGTGTGTCTCGTGGGGTAGCCGAGCCCCAGTCCAACGTAAAGAACGAACCGTGTCTCGGACCTCGGCGACCATTGATGCCCCGTGAGGGGACTTTGGATCATGCTTCTGCGCACCTCCAATTCTCGAATCGAGAATGTCAAAGTGCTTCGGCCTTCTTTACGAGTGCCCAGCTTTGTGTACGCGCATAACTAGTCTATGTCAAAGCATCTTGGCTTAGAAGGCCAATCCACGGAACGCACTAAACACGAGTTCCTTGACTCACTTGACTCAAGGGATGCTCCAGATTCTGGCGGGCACAACAAAACAAGCAGCAGCAAAAAAAACGCAATGACCGCGAAGACCCCGCAGAGCCGTGAGCCCGGCCCGGCAGGATCGTGGAAGTCCCAAGCGTGGAGCTCCGAGAGACGGCCAGCGAGGCGCCGCTGCGCGCCGCCGTGCCCGGTTAAGAGCGAAGCTCTGACTGTAATATACTCGTACGTGTCACGGGCTGGTCGCGGCGCAAGCAGCGAGTGCCTAATGCTCTGCTGCCGTGCAGGTCGCGGCGCGTGTGGAAGTGCGGGAAGTGGTGAGGCAGGTTCCCAAAGTCGAGGCCGGGAGCGGAGCGGAGCTCTTTCTAGACCGTGCGGCTGGGCCTCTTCTCTCTGCGTTCTTTGCTGGAGGTGCAGTTCGTCGAGAAGAAGATCCCCAAGCCCGTCATTCAATATGCTGCTCAGACGCACGAGTCCCCGTAATGGCACGTACTGCTTTAGTGAGCATGCGAAAGCTCCGGCAAGGTGGAGAAGACGGTTGAAGTACCGCACGTGGCACCATGGCTGAATGTCCCAAAAGTGCCACGCAGCCCCCGAAGAAATCGGAGCTCAACAAATCTCTCTTTAGGTGTACGAAGAGCGGATCGTGGAGGTCCCTGAGATCGAAGTGAAGGCTGAGCTCGGAGCTCCCCCGTTCTCAGAGACTACGGATTCCGCCTTTCAGGGATATCTCAATGCAGGTATTTTTACTTTCTGAATTGGAGGCAGGAAAGAGGATGACTCCTATACTCTATACTTAACTTGTCCTCGGATTCGGCCTTGTCAGGCTGCTGGCTTGAATTGCCCGTGAGACTTGGCCGCCGAAGAGGGTTCCGTCCCATTGCAGGAGCTCATTCGGCAGGTGCCCGTGCCCGTGATCCAGTACGTGGACTGCCAGCCAGTCATGAGCTTGTTTTGTTCCCTTGCATTGACTTCTTCTCCTCCGGCAGGCACGAGTACGCGTGTAAGTGTCTAAGCCGTCTAAGCGTGTAAGCAATGTCACGGGTCGCAAGTTGAGGGACGCGGATATCGCCAGTTGGCTTGCGGGGCAAGCCCGGAGCATTCGGAAAATCACTTCTGAAAGCAGCGGTGGTGGAGCTCCGGCCTAATTGGAACACCGCGGCGGCGGCAGAGGGGGCTTCTCTCGCTTTGTCGGGTGTTCCGGAGGGCCGCCGGAGGGCCCGGCTGCCGCTTCGCCTCTGCGAGAGGAGAAGCGGGTGCCGAAGTGTTCCGTGCGGCTTTTGGAGAAGCTCCAAGAGGCACAGCAGGGCCTTCGCACACTTACATTAACAACCCTTGCTTTCGCTTGGCAGGTGCCCCAAGCCTTTCAGGAGGCCCACCGCAGCAAAGAAAGGGGCCCAGAGGACCCGAAAGCAAGCGGCCGACTCCCTGGCTGCCAGGAGCGAGCCGTCGAAGTCCAACAGGCCTTGAACACCTTTCCTCGCAACGGGGGGGGCTTGGCTCAAAATTCCTTTCTTTGGATTTTTCCTGAGTTTTCCTTTCTGGCGAGGCAGTTGGAGTTGATCTGGAGGTGCATGTGCCGAAGGTGCCTTCGGTGCCTTCGCGGCTTTCTTCACACAGACACGCTTCGCGGCCTCTGGCGAGGTCAGCTACACGGAAGTTGAGAAAGAGGTTGCGGCGGTGACGCTCCAGCCACGCGAGAAGGCCCTGGCCGATCCGTTCCTGGCTTCAGAAGACTCTGTGAGATGATATATATATATATATATTCTCTCTTCATCAATCCCTTCTTTTGGAGGTTGTGGAGGTGCCCGTGATTCTCAGGGAAGAGCGTTTGGTGGAGGTCCCAAAGGTGCAAGCCGTCCCAGTGGCCGGCAGCCTCAAGTCTATGTTGCACATGCAGTCCACGCGGATTTCAGCCGCTTGCAAGGTCACGCAGCATCTGCGCCCAGCTGTGGAGGCAGGGCAGCAGCCCTTTAGGCCCCCTTTAGGCCCCCCAATTTGAGTCACCTCTGTCTCTGAACTCCCGGCGCAAAGTCTTCGCTGAGTTCGTTGAGAAGCCCGTGGCCGTCGCGGAGATCTCCTTGGAGGAGCGGCAGGTGCAGGCGCCGCTGCACCATAGAAAAGAGCACACCAAGAGGGGGGCACAGAGTGGGCCCGGCTAGTCCGCCCTTTCTCTGTGCAGGCGAAGCCCACGGTGCTGATCGAGGAGGAGCTTCTGGAGATCCCGCAGCAGCAGCTCGTGGAGGTGACGCGCCAGGAGCGGCAGGGCCCGGCAAGGCAGAGGCGGGAACCTGAGCTGCGGTTTTGCAAGATCTGAGGAGCTGCAGCCCGTGCTGGAGGAGGTGGTGAAAGAGGCGCAGCAACAATCCGGAGATGGGGACCACGTGAGAGTCGGAGTTCTGTCTCAGGTGCCGAAGTACCGGGTGGAGTACTTGGAGAAAGTGGTCGAAGTGCAGAGCCAAGTCCTCCCACAGGCGCGGAAGCCCGCAGTTTTACAGCAGCTTACATAGCTGACATAGCGTGCTCTTGAAGCCGCCCCTTGTCTGCCTTCTGGAAGGACGGAGATGGAGCGGCGGAAGCAGCTGCAAGCAAGGCCACCGCATCCTTCGAGCGATGCCAACTCTGCCGGCATCACCATGAAGCAGTTACTGAAAATCCAACCCAGTCGACCAATCCAACCCAGTCAAGCACCACTGCGGACATGCTCCTGCATCCTTAACGCTCCCCGAGCGTCGGGCACATCTCAGTCAGCGGTCTCTGGGCCGCGGATGACGCGCCGAAGGAGGGTCCTGGATCGGGAAACGTCGGGCGGGTCCTCGGAGACGGAGGGTTGGGCCGGCGCAGGTGGGGGAGCACGTGCCGATCCGTGCTGCACCTGAGTCAGCTGTCGGAGGGACCGGGCGGGACTTTGAATCCATCGTCTTTTCATCGTTTTGCCTGCTGTGTGCTTTCATCTTATTGCTCGTCCTTGGGTTGTTGCTATATGCAAGGTTGTTTCTTTTGCCCCGCTGTGTTCGCTTGTGTTCTGGACGTGTCTAGTCAGCTTTGCGTGTTGCGTGTGCTTGTTGTAGGTTCACGCATGTCATTGCAGCTGGTGCCTAGCGATGAGTGCTGAATGAATCTGAAGGTCTCCTAAACTCGAGCGTTTGGCAATGTGGAGAGGAAAGAAGTGCGAGGCATTTGCCTGCCCAGGGTAGTGGCTGCAGCTAGGTGTCGCCTTTTGCACTTGCCTCTTCTTGCCCCCCTGCACCTGCGTTCGGGACGGTGGCGAAAGCCCAACGTGCAGCACTACGAAATGCATGGACCACGTAGGTCTTATATAGACAAAGTCGCGATTCGACGATTTCGAGTGCAGGATGTGACCAAAAGCATGCTGTTTGCCACCCCTCTCTTGATATTTGCATGCACCTAGGACCTAGGCCTAGGCGAGACAGTCAGGACTGGAAGCACTGTTTTAATGCAAACACACCGAGACCCGGTCCTTCAGAGCCTCAGACCACGTCTCTTTCAGGGCCCAGGGCGCGTGGTGCACGTGTCGACCATCGCGGCTCTGAAGGCCGCCGACTCCCCGCTCCGGGACAGCAGGCCTTGCGAGAGACAGCTCAGAGAGCCTTCTAAGCAAAGCTCTCCTTCGAATTTTGCAATCTCTCTGTCTCTTGTTGCAAATCCCGCCTTTCCGCAGCTCTCGCAGCCTCTCGCTCTCGCGCACGGCCTCGCACTCAGTCGCTACCAGACGTCTGCAGCAAAAAAAGAGAGTCATGTCCAAATTTCAGCGGCCGAGCCGAGGTCACACTGGATGAGGAGAGCTGCCCCAGTTGCGGGCGCGCACGCGTGCCAGGGCCTCGCGTCCTGGAAAACTGCTATGCAGAAACATGTGTCTCTGTCGGTGCCCGTCTAGCTATCTAGCACCTAGCAGACCTAGCACGCCATCTATCCATCTGTCTATCTCTGCGGAGAGCTACGGGCACCATGCACTGCTAGGAAACTACGTACATAAAGGCAGTGGCTTTTCTTACTTGTGTTGGGTAGTCAGCAGAAACCGACCCCACTCCGACTTGCAGAGCATTGTTCGGTGTTACGCAGCTTCCGAGTGGCTGGCCACAACCAATCTCTCCTGCGATAAAAAACCAACCGAAGAAGGACAACTTGCAGGGATGTCGAAAAAATAATGCTCGCTTTGAACCCCTGAGGACCGGATCCCGTTTCTGCCACGCTTGTGGGCACCGATTCGAGAGCTGAGACAGGTCCTTGGGGCCGTGAGGCCTTCGGCGCGGGCCAGTGATGCAAATGCACACGGGGCCGTCGCCTTGATTTCTGGGCTTGCCATGGAGCTTGGCATCCGGGCTGCGGGCTTTTAACCGTTTTTCCGCTGTGGATCCAAGTCTCCGCAAAAAGGGGCTCGCGGCACCTGCAGTGAGCTGTGCTAAGCTGTGCATTAAGCTGTGCTAAGCTGTGATGTGCCGTCGCCTGGGCCTGTAGGACAGGAATCTGGCCGGCGGGGGGGGGGGTCCTCGTACACCAGTGACTTACGGAGAGCGTCTTTAGATTTGGGTCAGAATTCAGAGGCTAAAGGGGGAGGTCGTTCTTTCGAGAGCCCCTTTCGTGGTGAAGAAGCCGGGCCTCGTGTAGTCTGAGCCATGGAAGCGAAGGCAGAGCGAAAGAGAAGAGGAGAGGCTAAAAGCCAAAAATGCAGCGAGGAGACGGAGAAGGCGAAGGCGAAGAACGTGTGCCACCAGATGGAGATATGGAAGCAGCTCATCGACACGGAGCGGAAGCCCGAGCCCCGAGCACCGTGAGCACTCCAATTCTGGTCTCCTGATTCTGGCGGAGGACGGCCGCGAACTGGGAAGGCCAATGGGGATTCCTCAAAGGCGGCTTCTCAGCGGCCGGGCCTGCCGGAGCTGAGGCCAGCGGCTCTTTTTTCAACGGGCTAGAGTCTCGCCCCTTTCGTCCTTTCCCTGCAGGGTGCGGGCGAAGATTCGCGCAAGGCAAGGCCTGACACGGGGGTCTGAGGTGCCGGTGCCAGTCCTGACAGCCCCACGGTGAGGTGACCCGCTCCTCTTCGACGCCAAGCCTTCCGAAGGACAAGGCTGGGAAGGAGAGCCGGCGGCGCCGGCTGGGAGCTGGGACGAAGAGAGCCGAGCAAGCAGGCCATGGAGTACTTCACCGGCCGCTCCGCTCAGCGCGCTTTTGATGCGGCGCCGATGCGCCAACCCTTCGCTGGCCTCAGCTTCAGAGCCCCTCGCTGAGGCACCCGGGCCCGTGCCAAGTTGGACCGCTCCGAGGCCGCCTCTCGCACCTTTAAGCGCTTCGCGCGCTTCGCGCATATTGCGCATGCACATTGCGCCCGCAGTGCCCAGGCCTTGCGGCAGCGCAAGACGCTCACGCCGCAGGAACGCTACAGCTGCTGGGCCGCGAGGTTTGTTGGCTTTTCCCAATTTTCATAACAACATATTTGCCCCGGTGCCCCAAGCAAGAGACGCACCTTCGAGTTGTCTCCGGAAGAGTGTACAAACCTTTCGATATGAGGTTCCATGAGAATCACCAGCCACGAGATTGGCTGGCGGCCTTCCATCGAGAGGTTCGGCGTCAGCCTGACCCTGAGAGACACCACAATAGGGGAGTAGTCTTGTGCGCATGCAGCCTGCGTATCGCAGACCCGGAGTCTTGGAGGTCATCATGGCATCAAGAGGGATCCGGGTATTTGGCCGGACTACTGAGCAGCTTAAAGGCTGAGAAGAGCCTTCCTCAAGGGATGGCAGATGAGGAAAACAACAACTCTCAGTTCACCTTGATTCGAATCGTCAGCTTTAAAGCGTGCCCTGCAGCTGCATATCTTTGCGAGCTCTTCCCCTCTGGCTCTCAGCGAGCTGCCGGGGGCGACCGCAGCGGCGCTGCCTCAGAGATATGCAGGGGCCCGGGGGGCCCCCCGGGGGACCCGGGCAACAAATGGCTCCTCGGCTTCGGAATCAGAGGAATCAGAGAGAATTCCGGTCGCAAACGAGGGCCGACTCGTTTGGTGTTGCTCTGAGGGGGGGGGGGGGTCGTTTGCACTGTCGCAGTGATGTCAATCTTTTTGCACTTGGGAACATGCTGCCGCGTCACATCGCAGTCTGCAGAGACAGAGTTACTCCGGTTGCTCATTTCAGTTCCTCCCCTCAAGCCTGGCGAGAGTCTGATTTGCATCATTGAGCCCGGTTCAGGTGGGCGCACCATGGCAGGCGAAGAAGGGGTGAATCTTATTGCCAGAACATCACAGTTGCATCCCGCCTCTGGATTCCAGGGTGGGCCACCGCAGTACCCGCAGGCGCGAAAGATGACCCAACGACAGGGCCTGGAGTGACGTGCGTAATTGACTTTATACCATCATGCTGAAGGCATTTATACAGGAATTATGCAGTGGAGTCCTACAGAGTAGTTCAGTTCAGGGCCAAATCGTATTTCATGCGTGATCGTCCAGACTAGGGTAGCGGAGGGGGAGGGGTGAAACACTGAACGTCACACATCCAGGTGCCTGTCTGCCCATGCTTGTTGCTCAAGGTTCTAGCAGAGTGCGATCTACAGCTGTGCGCCTGTAGTAAAAGGAAACTCCTGCGTTGCCCGTGTTCCTGTACGTTTTGCGAGGGGATACACGCACTGGTCACATGGTAGTGGAACTCCCGGGAAAACGGGAAGCTTCAGGTACCCGACAACCGGAAAAGCAATCTCCCCGGGCTCGATCCATGGCTAGCCACTCTGCTGTGCCGCATGAGCATGGCAACGGCGACGATGATTACCTCATTCAAGGTAATGAATCATATGCGACGAATCACCGTCATCTTCAAGACTTACACCGACTTGAAGCTTTTCAACAGGTGACCACCAAAGTACCGCCGTCTT